TCTGTCTGTCTCTCTCTCTCTCTCTCTCTCTCTCTGGTAGTCGCCCCCCTCTCTCTCTCTCCCTCCCTCTCTCTTGTGCGTGCTCTTAGTGTCATTGCTTGGCTACCTTAGGGTTGCGGTCCTCTCTATCTTTCCAAGAAAAAGCTCAATAGAGTAAAAAAAATCATTCCAACTGTGAAAAAGATTGCGACCGCAATTTGATCTATATTTCAATTTTGCCATTTAGCCTCTCTCTCTCTCTCTCTCTCTCTCTCTCTCTCTCTTTTTTTTCTTTTTTTTTTCTCTCTTTCTCTCTGTGGTAGGCCTCCCCCTCTCCCTCTCTCTCTATCTCATTTTCTGTCTGTCTGTCTCTCTCTCTCTCTCTCTCTCTCTCTCTCTCTCTCTCTCTCTCTCTCTCTCTGTGGTAGTCGCCCCCCTCTCTCTCTCTCCCTCCCTCTCTCTTGTGCGTGCTCTTAGTGTCATTGCTTGGCTACCTTAGGGTTGCGTTCCTCTCTATCTTTCCAAGAAAAAGCTCAATAGATTAAAAAAAATCATTCCAACTGTGAAAAAGATTGCGACCGCAATTTGATCCATATTTCAATTTTGCCATTTAGCCTCTCTCTCTCTCTCTCTCTCTTTTTTTTTTTTTTTTTTTTTTTTTTTTCTTTTTTTTTTTTTTCTCTCTCTCTGTGGTAGGCCTCCCCCTCTCCCTCTCTCTCTATCTCATTTTCTGTCTCTCTCTCTCTCTCTCTCTCTCTCTCTCTCTGGTAGTCGCCCCCCTCCCTCTCTCTCCCTCCCTCTCTCTTGTGCGTGCTCTTAGTGTCATTGCTTGGCTACCTTAGGGTTGCGTTCCTCTCTCTCTCTCTCTTGTGCGCGCTCTTAGTGTCATTGCTTGGCTAGCTTAGGGTTGCGTTCCCCACGCCCACACGGTAGACAATAGGCAATATAGGTTATATTTCCGATTTAGACTTCTCCTGTCATGTAGTGGTGGTGACGGTCTCGAGTTACCATCATTGAACTGACTGGCCCCAGGTAATTCAGAACTACTTTTTCATTGCATCTTTATTTCAGCAGGGCACGGGTGTTTGCCTCTCACATAGGGAAGGGATGTTAGGTACCACTCATCGTTTCATAGAACCAAGAAGGGTCTGGGTCCATAGGTGTCTTTCTTTACACACTGATGAAGAGCCCAAGGGGCTTGTCATGCTGCACCCTCACTTCATCACCCCTAAATGCTTTCGGCGCTCTGCTGTGGTGTCGTATGTATGTGTAGTGTACGTTTTCTGTTTGTGTTTCGCTGTGGCCAGGGAAGTGCCTGTCACCATGCTAGACTGCTGACTGGCTTGCGGCAGCAAGCCAGCTCAATTGCTGCTCTCCGATTTCTGACAGGAGGAGATCGATCCAGGGAGCAGTGCGAGCCGAGTGTAGGGGTTGTGGCCATATAAAACAGGCCGACGAGCGATGTGATGCCCAAAACGGTCGGTTGTTGGGCATGCCTCAGAGAAGGGAAGTTGCTGCGGGCGGGAGGCCTGCGGACTCGACCCCAGCGCCTGCGCGACACCTGCAATGCGGGCCGCATCACAGTAGCCACAGGGCTGAAAATGCAGCCAGCAGTAACAGTCGCAGCAGGCTGTGGGTGGCCCTGGGACGCGATGGGCGGAGTAGCGAGCCCGGAGCCGCATCAGCATGAGGATAGTACCGCTGGGTGGAAAAGGGGAGGCCTCCCTTGACTTCCGCCTGCGGACAGGCGGATGCGGAGAAGCGGTACGCGCCCAGGGATCACTCGCTGTTTTGTTGTTTCGAAAGAGCCGCTGCTGGTTGCTGGTTGGACGGAGGGCTGATGATGCCACCGAACCTCCACCGCACCGGCGGAGGCAGAATGGAGTGCGAGTGAGGAAGGAAAATCTTTTTTCTACTACAATGTGTTACGCAACTGGTGTGCTATATGCGTGGCACATCGATACATACTCCGCACGTACGCGGAATGTGTGTGTGTGTGTGCCGCGCTACCCACCAACCCATCCTTCGCCCGTCTCCACTCATTTGTCGTCGGAAGCTGCAGTTCTTTGCGTCGTTCTACAGCTTTGACTGTCAGCAGAGCGCAGGTACGCTTCGGGCGCTTGCCCTGCCTTGCTTGGCTTTGGCGTGGCTCGGGCTAGGTTGCCTCGTCGATTGATCGGGCTGGCCTGGCAGGTGCCCATCACTGTCGGCTGGTGACGAGCTGGGGCCCAAATACAGCGGGGTCTCGTGGAGGGGCTTTGGGAGGGTGCAGGGCAGGGCAGGGCGAGCGCGCGCAGTCGGAAGGAGTTCGGTGGGGGAGCGGGGCGTGCGGGCTGGCGGGCGGATGGACGGACGAGCGGCAGGCGGGAGGGTGTGCGATCAGGTGTGCGATCAGGTGTGCGGGTTGTCTGGTACGAGGGGCGGGACGCGCTGCGGTCGTCGAAGACATTCAAGGGCGCTTTCTTCATCAACTTGAAATTAGCCTGGGGTGAGGTGTTGTTAGGTGGGACTCTTACACGTTCGTGTTGTGCTGTGCCGTCCCGTCCTGTGCTATGCTGTGCCCCGTTGTCTTGCCGCACTCTGTCGTTGGTCGTGCTCGATCGAATCGCAAGCGAAGCTTCGTATTCTGCGCTAGTCTTACCTCTTCGCTCGTCTGTCACTCTCGCGCCCTCCCGTTCTCGCACTGTCTCTCTTGCTGATGCGTGCATGGCGCGTTGCCTCTGACGCATGGGGGCGCTTCGCAATCATCGCCTGCTTCACTCAGCCCCGTGGTAAGGAACTCGTCGTCGTAGTCGCACGCGATATTCGCCATGGTCCACCATCCTTGTGCTGAACTTTTTGTTGCCCTTTTTGATCTTCACTCCGTTTGTTGTTGCCAAGTCGTCGTTCTCTAGTCGCCCCTATATTTGATTGGCCGTCTAGAGGTGGGGGTTCGTCGGAGGCAGGTGTGTCCCTTGCGGCGGCCGCGATGGTGGTGGTGGTGTAGGGTGTTGGTGTTTGCCAGTTGCACTGCTTCACGGTTGAGTCCTACTAGTAGTCGTCAAGCACTGCAGTCTCGGTGAGTAATCGGAAGTCTGGTCTGACTATCGTGGTCGCGTGTGTGCTCGGGGGTGTCCGGGTTGCGTGAGGCCGCGCGCGCTGCTGGTGGACAACATGGCGGAGCGCGAGCAACGGCTGGATGAAGGGGCATACCAGCCCGAGCAGCCTGTCCTCTGCGCTAACAATTGCGGTTTCTTCGGGTGAGTGAAAGCGTTGCATATCCTCCCATCCTTGTTGGCATCTTTCCGGGTCTACAGTGCTGATAGCTTGTGTTCGTCTTATGGTCTCAATAGTTTTCAAGTCGGTTTTACCAGATCTCCATGCTTGCTTTTGGACGCGGTTCGTTGGACGATGTTGTTGTGGGTGAAAGGGGTGGGGGCGTTGATCGAGAGTTGTCTGCGCGTTTGGCCGATGTTATTCTGTAATTTTGAAATGTTTTAAACTTTCAACAACTGTGCGGGACTCGTTTCTCTATGTTTGACGGGGCCGCTCTATGGGAAGGCGATGGTGGTTGGCGGTGGAGAAGAGACGGGGTAAGTCGTTGGTTAGTCTCCGAGGGCCTATTTGCATCTACGTAGATATATGGATGGATAGATTGTTGTGTTAGTGTGAGTGGGAAGTGATGGTGATGATATGTACCGGTGAAGAGGTATTATGGCGTGGAGGCGGGAGTATTGTCCGCTGTGAGGTGCGCAGTTGTTGCGCAGATGGAATTGTGCGTATGGCTGAGGAAAGTCGCGGACGGGTATTTATTGTCATTATGGGCGTTTGTCCGTATCTAAGACCTCCCCAGGAAAGCTGCTGTTCCCTACCGTCAAATGGAAGAACACATCGGATGGCGAGGCGCGATGGTATCGTTTCCGACCCCGCGGCGTTTGTGGGAAGCGGGCGGTTTAATGATTTTGTCGTGATATAACGCGATGGGCGGCGGTTTCTGTTTTCGTGGTCGTGTAACACGATGGTTGTTGTGTTCAGGAGCTCGAGAAAGTTTCAGTGAGGGTGTTTTTTTTTTTGTTGTTGTAATTTTGATTCTTCGGATATGTAATGCAATCTGAAAGGATTGGTGTATGGAATCCACTTAGGCAATGACGGGAGTGGGTGCGCTGGGATTTGCGCAATATGCGTACTGGATTACCGAGAGAGTGAAAGTGGCGTCAGTAGGAGAAGATGAGGTAGGCTCTGTTTCGGGTGGGTGAAGAAGACGACAGAAACAGTCTTACTCACTTTGCGAATCAAACACAGATTTCTTCTCGTACTTTCAACTCTTTTGCTCTCTCGGTATTAGTTCGGTAATTTGCCTCTTTCAATTCAATCCTAGTCGAGAGCATATCCACCACCCGTTAAGCACCTCATCGTAGCAAGTAGTCGCCGTCAAATTCAAACGCACCCACTCACTCCAGCCAGTACTCAATCGAAGTGTTTTCCTTTTCGTTCTTGCTCTTCTTTTTCTCCTACCTCCGTTTCGGTTAGGTAGAGGAGGAGGAGAACATTCGAGTATTAACTGCAAACGAGTGGGTGTGCTGGGATTTGCCGGAGTACTTGGCTACCGAAAGAGCACAAGAGTAGATAAGAGGATAAAAAAGAGGCCGTGTTTGATTCGCACTGTCAGTACCTGGCTACCGAGAGGGCAACAGAGTACACGTATGGGTAAGAGAAGAAAAGGAGGAAGAGGGCTAAGTGTTTGTGTTTGGTTGCCTGGCTGTACGTGTGTGCATGGCAGAAATCCGATGTGCATGAATCTCTGCTCAAAATGCTATCGCGATTACACGGAGCAGCAGAAGGCGGCCGCTTCGATAGAGCAGGCGGCGACGGAAGGGGCGATTGCAGCCGAGGAGGCAAACGCCGCGAAGCAACGAGGAGGCGATCATATGATGGTGTCTCCGAGCGGAAGCGAGAGCACTTCAGGGAGCTCGTCTTCAAGAGCTATGGTGACGGAGTCTTCAGCTGGCCCATCCACGTCCTTGCAGGAGCAGCAGCAAGTGCCCTCTATCCATGGAGAGCGTCAGAGTAGCGAGCTGCAGCAGGTGCGGGATGAACGAGGTAGCGCGGCCATGGAAGGCGGCAGTGTGGCCATGGAAGGAGTGGCGACTTCCTCCGGAATGTCAGAAGATTCTCTGCCGGAGCGCAAGGTGAGAAAGCAGAGGAATCGCTGCTTCTCGTGCAACAAGCGAGTAGGGCTGACTGGCTTCCCGTGCCGATGCGGCTACGTCTACTGTGCAGTTCACAGGTATTCCGACAAGCACAATTGCGCCTACGATTACAAAGCAGCAGGGCGCGACGCGATCGCAAAGGCGAACCCCACGGTTGTGGCAACGAAAATCGAGAAGATTTGAGGGGGGGGTGGGGGGACGCGGATGGGGTTTGGCGAAACACAGGAAGAAGAGCAGACGATAGAGGAGGGGAGAAAATGCAGCCCAAAGCGGACGAATGAATACTGCAAGCGAGGTTTAGGATTGGGCGAAGTGGCACTGAAGGGTTAGTCGGGGACGGGTCTTGTCAGGGGAGGGGGGGTGGGGGTGGACGGAATGGGCTGGTAAGACAGGTCGTCTTTCCGGGGGAGTCGAGGACGGGTCTAGGAGCGGGGGATAAGTGAAATGGGGTTGGCAAGACCATGTTGTCTTCTCGTAGGTAGCGGGGCAAGGGTCTGGAGTGAGAGGGGACTTGACGAAGAGGGGTTTGTTGCGGACGAGTGGAAGACACACGGAGCCGAACGAGCACATCTGGCAAAAGCAGTTAAAGCTGTTCTATGCGGGGTGGTTCGGGTGTCTGTTTTCACGGTTACGTTTTGACGTGTGAGGACGCATCTGTAACCGGCAGGGCAGGGAGGTGGTTGATTGGGTGATGGGGGCTGGCATGGTCTGTGTTTTTAGGCAACTTAGAAGAAGAATAGTCAGTCTGGATGATGTGTTTTTGCAGTGGTGTATATACGGTTCTTTGTTTTTGTTGATTTCGTTTTCCTTGATGATGCAGTGACTCGGCTACAACAGTGTGGGGTGGTGGCTTGGATATTTGTATTACGATCAGCCGAGCACTAAGTGATGATGATGATGTTGATGACGATGATGATGATGATGATGGAAAGAAAAGCCAGAGCTATGTCTACGGCAATGCTCAGTGATTGTGCACACGTATCGATGAACCAGTGGTTGAAGGCAGTGATTGTTGTGCACACGTATCGATGAACCAGTGGGTGAAGGGTGGGTGGATGAACAGGTCGTGGAATTGCATGATGGATGCATAAGATGGATAACAATGTTCTCGGGTGTGGAATCTGTATGCCGCTGCGTATCGCGTGTTTGTGTAATGGCTTAAGACGTCCGCCATGACTGTTTCTTTCTGCTGCCAACGCATGTTAAGATGACCTGATGCTCGTCACTTTACGCCGCTCACTCGCATGTTTTTCGTTCTGCAGAAGTGCTGTTCGAGGTGCGTAGGTGTTCGTTTTTCATGGGGGTATATATCTTGTCGTGTCTTTATCATGTCAATCATAGCGCAGCTGAAGGCGGGAGTCCTGCACACACTTGGGAGTCTTCATGAGAAGCGTTTTCAATATTGGGGGGTTAACAATGGCGTGCAGAAGGAACTGAATTTTGTACGGTCCAGAAAAAAGAACTGCAATGATATGACTAGTAATGTTGTTGTGCAAAGTTTAGGGCAAGTGCGTTGTTTGAACGTTGCGAAGGTGGTTTCTTGTTTATGGGCGTATTTGAAAAACGACTGTATGGAATGTCTTTAGCAGGCGCTAAATCGCTTTTTGGAGCCGGGCGGTTGTTCTGCCCCGTCGATTAGCTCTTGGTTGGATAGTGTTCGACTCCTCTTCAGTTCGTCAAAGGCGCACCGGTTCTCTGCCCGCTCGCGCAGCGTTTGCCTTGGTTGGATAGTGTTCGACTCCTATTCAGTTCGTCAAAGGCGCACTGGTTCTCTGCCCGCTCGCGCAGCGTTTGCCTTCGTAGTTTACGACTCCTTTTAAGCTCCTCGCCAGAGGCGCTCTGGTTCTCTCTGGTTGGAAGTTTTTCGTTCTTTATGAATTTTCGAGTGGGTTTATCGATCAGTCCGTCTCCCGGGCAACACGAATTGATATGAAGGAGAGGAGTGGGTGACTTGTTTCGCCGACGTAGGCCTGCGTCACTGTGTGTGGACCTCGTAAGCACTCTTAGGCAGAAGGTCGGGTTCTGGCTTTGCGTTGGCCCCGTTGTGGCACTACATGTATGCGTAGTTAGTTGTACGGTTGTTTCCCCAGCTGCTCTCCCAATGGAACTTGTGGAAGCCACAAAGCATGTTGGATGGTGGACGGTCCGATAATGCTTTCGACGAGTGATTTTACCGTCCGTCTCATGTTATACTCGGAATGCATGTCTTGAACGGGGGAGGTAGCGGGTATGTGCCCCTCATGTGGAGAATGCGACTCTGCTGTAACTTACCTGTGTTAACCCGCGTGCCTGTTATACTCAAGAGTCTTAACTCAATTGTGCTAATGCACGTGCCTGTCACACTCTATTCTTAAGGAAGCTTATCGTGCGGTGGGCGATTTGCTTCCTTAAGAATACCTCGTAACTTTGCCCGGCTTACGGTTACTGGAGATTTTGTGTTGAGCTGTCTTGAACGTTGATGGGAGTGCGCGTTGTTGCTTGCGTTTTGGAACTTGGCACATGTGTCATCTGTTTGGCGGGCAAGTGTTGCTTCGTTTGTGCTGTGGTACAGATCGCTGGACTCTGTGTACGTGTAATCGCTGCTGAAGCCATCTTGAAAGTGTTCCTTGTTCTCTTTCTGAGAGTTGTGAAGCGGTGACGACGAGTTATTTTCGATTCTCTACTGCCAGTGGTCACGAGGATAACGATGCGTTTGCATCCCACCCTGGCTGTTATGTGTGAGATTTTGTTTTGCTTGGGCAAGTCCCTTACGTTGTCGGCTCTTTCTCCATGACCTCCCAGTGAGAGGGATTTGGAAGTGAAATATGAAAGAGGGAGGGGACTGGACCCAGCAGCTAAGATAGAAGTGGATCGCTGAAAGTGCGTATCCGCTGTAGGGCTTGTGTCCGTGTTGGCCGGTCCCTCTGGGTTTGTGATTCTCTGTTGTTGATATAGGGTGGGTGAGTAGTCAGGGGAATTGATTGCTTGACGGATTAGACGACCTCGGGTTTGTTTGTAGGATTGGTAAATAGATTGATTTCCCATAAAGTCGAGACTTGTGACAGTGTAAGTGGTGATTTCGTACGCACCCATTTTGTGTGTCTTGAAGTCTCTATTGACTCGCCGCAGCGTCCGTTTTCGATCATCCGTATTATTGTGGAAACGCAGTATTGTATCATGTACAAATATAGGTTCGAACCGCGGGTTCTGCACCGGGCATTCTCGCACGTGTCTCTGGTGAAGGTCTGTCTATACGCTTTGGTCGTCTGTGTCACTGGTTGGTTTCCTTGACGGTTCTAGGGTGGGTGGATGGTATGTGTTGACCTCGAAGTCGTTCCCACGACGTGGCAGTCACACTAGATTATCCCGGTGGTGTGCCTTGACTATTTGAGTGGCAATCTCTTACGGAGGATTTCTCGAAGTCTGTCTGTCTGATAACTGTAGGCGAGGTGCAAGCTTGCTTTTCGATTAACGATGTGACCTCCGAGGGAGTGCGATATTGGATGATGTGTACTGATAGTGGACGACATAGAGAACTACGGACAGCTCTACGGCACGGAGGAATCGCTGTACGCTGACAAAGCGAACCGTGCACGTGAGCGAGAGAAGGTCAATGGGCGCGAGCCGTTTTCTTGTGCATGGGGACTCGTATTTCCGCCGATTTTTAGGACGATCTGGTGTCCCCACGGTCCGGTTTCTGATGTCGTCTCCCCATATATATGAGTAAATGTGAAACCGACAGATCTCCGGTGAATGGTAGACTTTTGCTACCTTCTTTGTTCATGAAGGTCGGGTTCAAGCATTGGGAGTGTCGTCCATGCGCAGACATCTGTGAATGTGACCGGCTCCGGGCAGATGTTGGTGATCCCAGTTGTGTGACTTTCTGTTGTGAAGATCATGAGGTCGGCGTCCTTCACGAAGTGTTTAACGACCTTGACTGCGTTCTTCTGTTTCTCTTTGGGAACTTGCGAGCACATCGCTTTGTGAAGTTGATCATTGAGTCGCGAACGTTAATGCGTCACGATTTTGTTGCGTGGGTGAACTGTGGGCACGTTTGTTCGTTGAGCGCCTAGTAGTGGGGCTGTGGTGAGAAGGTGGCTGAAGATTGGTCCTGCGGTTCGCTGTTTTGGTACTGTTTGATTCCGTGGTTGCAATGTCTAGTGCCCATGTCAGGCCGCTGGCGTTTTGCCAGATTCGACGCCCCTATTACGTGGCGATATCTTGTACGGCCAGTCTTGCTGTAAGTGGGTGGTGGAAAAGGTGTCCTGATCCTGATTGAATGTGTCCGTCTTCACCCAATTTCCACATGCAAGCTGTCTTGGAGGGGCACTTGCATGCGTGATGTGAGTGGTTGGAAGAAGGGTCTCCTGATCCTGATTGAATGTTCGAATGTGTGCGTCTTCACCCAATTTCCACATGATAGCTGTTTGGGAGGCGCACTTGCATACGTGATGTGAGTGTTCGTGGGCATGCAGCTGTAGCACTGTTTCAATGGCGAGGTGTAGGTGTGAAATTTCCTGACCCCAAGTGTGCGTCGCCCGGCTGTTTTTGGGTTTTGGCATCCGCGAGTGGTTTATCGTTTTCATTCGTTTTATGTTGTTACTCGCATTCCCAATATGAAGGCGTGCTGAATCATCTGCCTAGAGTCTAGTTTTCGAAAGGCGTGCTGAATCATCAGCAGCCTAGTCTAGTTTTCGTTCAATGGACTGGCCCCCTTCCTATTGTTTGGCTACGTAGATCCTCAGCCGGCGAACATGACTCAGGGCCGTTGATGTAGGATTAAGCGTGCGGGTCTAAACAGTCGTTCCTTTGTAAAATTGCCCGAAGAGGAACCGCTGTGGCAGGGATTCTGGCGTTGTGAAAGCCACAGGTGTTTGCGTTGGCTGCCATGTCGTTTTCCTGCCAGGTCAGGCCGACTGCAACCGCAGGGCCCAGAAAAGAAAAGTCGCTTGTACTGGTTGAGTCACTATACCAATAATTTTCCTGCTCTTGCCCGTGGAGACGCCCTCCCAATAATTTTGCTTGAAACGCTGAGCACGGAGCACAAACCTTATTCCGGCAGGGTCCTGATTTGCCCCATGATTGTTCTCCTCATTATGGAGGGATATAGGACACCTCTGAAGTATCCTTCGACACGTTTACGGGTTCTGTAGATCTCGTTTAATGCATGAGATATAGGCTGTGAAAGAACGCCCTCCAGTACTAAAAACGGAAATGCGTTTGAGGGACACGTATACGGAGCATGGTCGTCGCAGTGTAAATAGTGAAAAGTGAACTTGTGTCGCTTGCTCTTTTGAGCAACATGATAAAAATGTTGACGACCAGGACGTTTGTGATACCTGTTACAGAGCTGCTGCTCATTCTGAACCTTGTTCCGGGTATGTATCGGATATTTGTGGGGAGTAGGAAATAAAAAAAAAGCCTTCTCAGATGATGCAAGTGGGCCATCCCAAAAGGTGTACGTCTTCTCGGAGTTTCTTTCTACTGTAGGATTTAAGTACCCCTCGACTATCCGCACAAGCAGTGGTCCTCCCTAACTCCGTAGAGCAACCTAATGTGCAGATGTTGATTGCCTGTTTTTGAGAGACAGTAGGAGGGGGTTGGGGTAAGGGAAAAATCGTTGTTTTTAACTGCTGGTACACCACGTTGTGCATTCTGATCACTGGTAGCAGGACCTGTGGACAAGGTGGGCATGCAGATGGCCTTATCAGTGGATGGCAAATAAATTCGAGCCTCCGAACCAGGGCACGAGCTGCGAGTGGAATCGGACAGATGCGACTTCCCGTGGTGCTGGGTTCGCACATTACGCGATTTAGCTTGGCTGGCATCGCGTGTGGTTGCTTGCCTGACGTATGATGTGGTGGCCTTGTTGCTTAACTGGCATGGGATGTGGTTGCTTGAGTGATGTGGTTTGGATGGCATGGCATGTGGTTGCTTGTCTCTGGTCCCTTGGTGCTATGGGTGGCAGGGGATGCGGTATCTTGGCTGCTAGAGCAGTTTCCCCGCTGAGACGGATTTTTTTTTTTTTTTTTTTTTGAATGTTGGATCAGACGCGTTTTTTTGTTTTGTTTTCTGTAACGTCTGTTGGCGTTATGAGTATGCCCCGGTACCTCAACCGGCAGATATCTCCCGGTACCTCCACCAGCAGATAGCTCCTATTTACTGGTGGGGTGCATCACCTGCGGGAAACCTTGAACACCAGCAGATGTCTCCTCTTTCTATTGGTAGGGTGCAGGACCTGTGGGAACCTTGGACCCGTCCCATACACAGAATATACGAAGAATACCGGGGCCTTCACCCTGGCTGGCTGCGAAAGAGAGGTCCTGTCTATATTGCATGAAATGGATCTACTGTCCTTTTACTTTGCGCTGTGAGATGGACGCCTTCGCAGAATTTGCTGTGAGATGGACGCCTTCGCAGAATTTGCAGAAAAGTGGTAGCCGGTGATCCTGAGTGGGACTACATACTGGGAATGTTCACTGGGAAGAGCATGGAAGTACCTCCTGTTAACTCAGTAGCAGGAGGGGGAGGTAGATTTGGGAAGGGCAAACAGCTGGTGAGAGGTAAGTTCTTTCTTTCTGGAGTCGTCGCTGGAAGCGTGCATCAGGAGCCTGTGTACCTCGTGGTAATCTTAGTCCGAATATGTAGTGGTACAGTAGAGACTGCAGGGTGATGTACAACGGGTTACCTTTGGAAAAGTCCAGTTCTCCTTTGGTGGGTGTTTGTGAAGAAGACAGGTTATATCATGCAGTTTCTAATGTATGACGCTGCAGTTTGCGAAGAGTTTTATGCACTTCCTGTACCTCATACAGTGAAAAGAAGGGGAACGGCATGGAAACGTTTGTGGGGTGGCTCTTTGGTACTCCGAGAGTTGTGGAAGGATATACCTGTGAGGCTTGGGATTTACGAAGTGCTCTTGCTGGATTGAAAGTGGCAAATGTAGAAATTTTGTGCCTCTGATGTGCATTACGCTACCTTTTAGGGACGTGCTTAGCGTGCATGATATAACCTGTCTTCTTCACAAACACCCACCAAAGGAGAACTGTATGATATCTGTCTTCTTCACAAACACCCACCAAAGACAGGTCGTGCTTAGCTTGCATTACGCTACCTTTTAGGGACGGGTTGAGAAGGTACATGTTTTGTGCCTCTGATGTGCAGTTGATGATTCCAGATTTTGTTTCTCTCATGCAGTGAATGATTCTCTACGGGGCATTTTTAGGCTTTTGAAGTGTCGGTTTACACCACATAGTTCGTGCATATGGGTATAGCTGGGAGTGAACGTAGTTGTAGTGTGAACGTGGGAATGGTCTGGAGGTTGAGAGAAGTTTTGGGTGTGCATAGCATAACTTTTCTGTAAATAGCGAAGGTGTTCTGTGCGTAGTCATGTAGGAACTGGAATTGAAAAGAAGAGAAAGCTGAAAATAAACGTGGAGGAGAAGGTGCATGAGATACAAGCGCGCAATTCAGATCCCCAAGGGAAGGAAATCTGGGTCCGAAAGCAGCAGGTGGAACCTGTGCTGTTGTGGGATGACAATCACAGTTCCTGGACCCCGGGCCCTGCTGTTGAGTGGTACATTCAGGAAGAGAAAGGTACAGAGACGGCACAAGGCACATGGGATGCACCTAATTCCCTCAGGACAGATACAACAGAACGCTGAGGTCGCAGGGGGACACAGCACACGGGCAGGGGGCATCAACGCAAGCTGATGTAACAAACAGCCCCCCTAAGCGGTTTGAACAGGAGGGAGCAGAGGGGCAGCTGGAGGGACACGGAGGTGGGGAGAATGGAGGTGGAGCTGGGGCCGCTAGGGGTGGAAAAGATGGGACAATTGAGGGCGATGACAGGAGGGTACGTCCTGGTGGGCCAGACGGTAGATACCACCCCCTTTCATGTGGCTTCTGGACAATGCTAACACGGCACTGGAGGGTTTGGCCCCGGAAAGAGACCCAGAAGGTGAGGAGGGGGCGGCTGCTGCACCTGCCCGTGGAACAGAAACTGCTCGCCGTTGTGGACTGGCTGATGGGGAACTTGAAAGCAAAACAAGGCTCTCCCTCACTGATGATTTCTGGGATCAGACGTATGGGGATTTATTGTCCATGCTTGGCACGGTGAGGTGGACTACAATTGTGTTTGCACGATTTCAGCTATCACACACAACAGCAGCAGCAAAAGACTTATGCCATATAAAGCACCTCTGGATGCGAATTCACGGAAAACTCTGAACTTTTTGATTATTTTTGACAAATATTAGACTGTCAGTTGGAATCATAGATTTACGTCTTTTCCTTCGAAGCAGAGCAGGGTAGAGCCGGAGCTCCAGCAGCGAATGAACAGACCCGGAGGACACAGGACCCCCTGGCTCTACAGCCACCAACCCTACCGCCACTCCTGGACCCTCCAGACCCAGAGGAGAACACGCCACTGGAGCTGGTGCAAAGAAGGAAGCTTAGGCACCTGGTCGAGATGGGCTGTGATACTGGGTTCCTGTCGCAGGCCGCCATGCTACTCCTCCCCGTTTGGAAGAAAAATGGGAAATGGGAGGTGGGCTTGTCACCAGTGGAGAATGGCAGACAGGGGGGTGTCACATTACAAGGTTTATCATCGTTTTGGGCGGAACCACAAAGTGGCTAGTCTGAGGCAGCGGCAGGAATTCTGCAAATGCAGTTGGAATCCCACGTTGCAGAAACTCCACCACCAGGGGCACAAGCTAGAGTCTCGATTACAACGGGCCCTAGCAAAATAGTGCAGAGGGACGTTTATATAGGTTTTGACCCGACCAAGGAGGTGGGCCTGAGATGCGCACGGCCAACTGCTGAACTTGCAGACAGTCAGGATCAGGCATAGTGACACCTGGACTGAACAGGATGTTCAAAGATGCTTGTGCCCGTCTCAGGCTGGGCCTCTTGGCGGGAGCAGCTGATTTGGACTGGGAACAGCTGCCGGGGATTGGTCTGTAGGATAGCATGACTAAGATGGGCCCAGTCAGAGCAGTGTACGGGAAAGATGGCATTTGGAACCAATGCAGGAGGGCAATGACTTCGCCTCGTGCAAACGTGGCAAACAAAATGCAATCTGGGATTTAATGAGAGGGGTGGGGGGCAGGAACTGGCCGGATGTAGTGTGTGTCCAGGAAACTCACGTGATGGACACCCTGGAGCACAACCGCACCCGTAAAACGATCTGGGCTGCATGAGTTCTTCAGGGCCCATGCCCCGAAACCAGAGAGTGAAGGGGTGGCCATCTGGATCCCCCCCAGTTCCTCAGTAGACCTGGTGCATTGGGCGGTAGACCAGGAAGGGGGTCGATGGGTGTCAATCCTGGTTAAATTGGAACGTGAAATTGTATGTATATTGTGTATCTATGCCCCCCAATACCGTGAGCGAGAGAACTTTCTATGAGAACCTTGAAACGCAAATCCTGGACGGGGTTCTGGTCATTAAAGCAGGGGACTGCAACGCAGCCCCTGACCAGCCCCTGACCGTTGGATGGATAGGTGGTGGACACCCTCCTCTATCCTGATGTATATGGAGGAGGATGCCTCTCACTAAAAGTGCCCGACTCCTTCCGGAGGCTAAACCCAAATACGAGGTTCTATTCACGACTCCGGAAGACTGGGACCGAGAGTCAGTCGAGATCTAATATTGTGTTAATCTTGATCTCATCAGGTCTGGAAGGGTCTCTACTTCTAGCAGCAATTTTGCCAGCTAGCCCCTACCTGGGCCTTGAGCACAAAATGTTCTTGGTCATTTTGTCCTTCTGCAAGAAACTCGATCGTGGACCTGGCTTTTATAAACTCGATGCCTCATCTTGCAGCAGAAAACCTTAGAGTAATATTACCGACTGCTGGACGTTTTAGCACTTGCAAAGGCAGCACATTCAACAGGAAATAAAAATATATTGGTTTAATAACAGTCTGTTCTATCTGGGTAGAAAATGCCAAGAATATTCCAAACTCTTAGCAGCTAGGAAGTATTAACAGCAGATGGAAATATACCAACAACTGTAGGAACTCGAGCACCAGGATCAGTCTAAGAGCTCACACAGTGCCCAACAGACACATCCAGAAGAGTATTCAGAGATACAGGTGCTGCAACAGCGAATCCAGACCTTTGCCATACAATGTTGGGAGAGCACACGTATAAGAGGATGACTGACACGACATCAAACAGAGGGAACAATAGATAAAAAATTATTCAGCATAACCCGTGTATGCATGTGCAGAACATCCATAGAAGCGCTATATGATCCACAAATTGGACAGCAGGATATTGTCATCTCCTTCCCCATTTGCACGCAGATAGCGAGGTCTTTCTTCAAGATAGCAAGGTCCTTCTTCAAGGACCTGTTTACTTCAAGGTGTGTCCGGTGGGAGAAGGATGTTGGGGAGAAAGAGATTTGGTACTTCTTCCCTACACTATTAAAATCGCTGACGCGAAGAATTTGAAATCCGGGCTGTCGGCGGTCCTACTGGCCCATGGCCAAGATCGTCCGAACCATGTAATAAATCTGCCATTTGGGCCGTTGACATGTTTTAGTGCCTAGTACTAGGAGAAAACCATCTTCTACCACATTGACGGCCTGGATAGATGCCATCTTAAGATCTTAAGATCGTACATCAATCCAGGCCGTTGACCCGGTACCTTGGGCCCGACGGCCCGGATTATTTGCCTGTTAGAGAGGGCCGAGGTACCTACCGGTGGTTTCTCGGCACGGTAACTACTAGTGGGGTTTTGTGT